TTTAACTTTTGTCTCTTACGTTTTTCATGAAGCTTTAATTCATTTTCTATTAAAAAAGGCCAAATCAAATGCCAAGTACAAAGACAAGGAATAAAAAGAATACAAGATGAATTTTATTTTTATGATATTTTAGCTAAATTGTAATAATTTTTATTTTTGTTCCTAAAAAAAAATATATTTCTTATAAAGACAGAAATATATTTCCAATTCATGTTCATGTATACATTTTGTTAGTGTTTTTTGTTTTTGTTCTTAACAAACTTATTTTACATTATAATTTTACAATTTCAGATGTGCTTTTTGTTTGCTCATTCTGTCCCAGTTTGACGTCTGAGAAATCTCATGAAAGTATTACACCATTATAACTAACTGATTTCCCATTCAGTTAATAATGCTTTTTAATACTATATAAGCTTAAAGACATACAGCCTTTTCTGCAATTGTATTGTCTGCAAAATGCATGGATTCTCTTCACAACCCATCCCCCTCAAAACTGCTTAACAATTCTCAGATGATCATAACATCAATGCTCCTTCCCATGACAAATAAAGGTTAAAAAAATTTAGAACTGCACCTTCTGAATATGCACCTCTTTATCATAATATGAAATTGGCAAAAGGTCTGAACAAGAAATTCATAGCACTCTCTGGTGTAAATTTTGTACATGATGTATGAGCAAAGCACAATTTAGAACTGGTCCAACAATCATAAAGCTTCAGACTAATTTTTTTGGCTCTACTCTTATATGCGCCCTAACATCACCAAATGTGGCGATATGTGTTCTGCACTAGTTTTTGGCACGATTGCGTGTTGTATGGCAACCCTGTTGACGTTGAAAAATCTTTTGCTGGAGTGGTTTAATTGCTTGTTGGTTCGTGTTTTGAAATGGCCTATGTTGCAATGATAGACGTGGTGGCAAGATTTCAGTCGCGTATTTTAGATTGTGAGGAAAGTAAATTTAGTATTAAAAGGTACAATGTTGGAATTCTTAACGAGTATTTTGCTCACGAGTGTGTTTATGAGGATTGAAGAGTATTTTTGGAATTTCTGTGGAACTTTTAAAATGGAGTCCGAAATGCGGAGCTGCTATGAGAACTCGGATGAAGAAAGGCATTTCTGATAGTTTTTGTGTGAATTTGCAGTCAAATGGTTGCTGCTAAAGTATGTGGCTGTCAGCAGAGTTCAAGATTTGGATTGTGGTTTTCGTGTAGTGTGTTAACTTTGGAGGAAGTTTTTATCATTACTTTTGAAATTTTGAATCTCAGAAAGACATGCGATATAGCAAAATTGTGGCACTTTTGTTCAGAGACATTGAGTGACTGGCAAAATTTTATTCAGGAATGTATTACGGTAAGTGCATTTTATTTTACTGTTTTTATTTTGTAGAATGTTATGTTCATTGTGTATTTTAATATGAATTTCTGTTGTTAATTCTTTGTAATTTAATTTAGTTTATTTGGTTGATTTGTGTGCAATGCCTAGATTGTGCAATTTGTAGATATTTTTTTAAGTTTAAACAGAATGCTTGTCGAATGGTATTCTTTGAAATTTACCGTTATGTTAATTAATTGAAGCAAGGTGTGCGTAGTTCGTAGATTCCTTCGCTGCCTAGAATATGCAATTCGTAGTTTTTTTTAAAGTTAAAACATATCGCTATGTACATGAATTCTTCTCAAATATTTCTGGTTAGAAACTTTACATTTTTGTTATCTAAATTTTTTGTTTTCATTTCGGATTTTTATTCCATTTTTTAAATTAAACTTTAAATTATGCTTAACCACAAATTGAATTAGCATATTAGTTTTCGGTAAAAGTATAGTTTAGGGTACCCCTTGGCGAAACTTGGCGATTTTTAGCGGTACATGGATACCGATTTTGTGCAACTCTTTGACTCGTTATTTTGGCTTGCGAAGCGGCGATTTTCGACTTATTTTCACTTAAAAAAAAAACCCTGAATTGCACAAATATGGCATTGCGCACTCCTTTGACTTTATCCATGTACACGTCGACCTATTTTCACTTAAAAAAAATCCTCGAATTGCACAAAAATGGCATTGCGCACTCTTTTAACTTTATCCATGTACACGTCGACCTATTTTCACTTAAAAAAAATCCCAGAATAGCACAAACTTGCATTGCGCACTCTCTTTACTTTGTCCATGTACATATGATATATTTTCACTTAAAAAGTCAAAGGGCACCAAATTACAATATAGGCAAACAAAAAATACATAATCTCAATAAAATACATTTTAACCAAACAATAAAATAACATAAAAAAGGAAAAACATGTTATACATTTAAGCACTACCAAAAGCAAATATTCACTTACCATGATTTTCGAGTTCGCTTCGTACACCCAGAGCCACGTCAAAATCAAAATATCAATCATACTCAAATGACTTTTTTCAAACCGGGTACTCTTTCTGATCGAACGCTTCACATAGTGACCATCTAAACCTCTCTTCCTACAAACCCATTCAAATCCATCTAAACGGTTTTAACACACACCACAAAAACGCTTACAGAACATCCCATGATTCAAAATTTCCCAGAATCATGCACCCGATTACGTCGCAATAGGGTTTCCATAACATTCAACTACTCAGGCTACCATAAATGAAACAACAACTTGGCGATAAATCAAACAACAACTTCGCCATAATACAAGGGGTACCTTAAAGTCTACTCTATCCTAGTTTTCTAAAAAAAAAAAAAAAAAAAAAATTAAAAAGAAATGCACAAGATTGATTTTCAGATTACCTGGTTCAAAGTTATTTTTCTTTTTCTTATTAAACCAGGTTTGGGTTCTATGTTTTACTATGCCAAAAAAAAAAAAAAAAAAAAAAAAATGAAATATGAACTCTACATAAATTCAGAAATTAATTAAATAAAAAAATTCAATTAAATTTTTACATGTATTTAGCCTTTATATCTTTATTTCAAAGAAACAAACTTGGTTATCTCTGAATGTGTGTGTACAAGTAGAAGAAACGGTAAATTTTGTAAAAGCATTTGGTACTTTCCAAATACCTGCATACCCATGAAAAGCCACCAACCCACTGGCAACTTTGTAAACAGGTAAACAACATTTATGTATCGCTGTTTATGTAGCTATCTTTACAGTTCTTAGACCTACATAAACAAGAATAAAAAGCATTTTACAAAAAAAAAAAAAAAAAAGAGGTTGATCTTTACAATATGGTAACTGGTAGTTTCGGGACATTTTGGAGGCGATAAAGGTTACTACCTGGCACTTTGGTAATAATGTGAGCAGTACTCAGTTCCGATTACGCATTATTTTGTGTGAGGGAAATGAGAGATCATGGGATATGTCATATGATATTAATGGACGAATTACGGTTCTTTAATCGGAAAAGGGGGGAAATCGGGAAAAAAAATCTGGAAATTTTGTATTTGGCTTTATTCTGTGTTGTGTGAAACAGTGTTCGTGAATTTTTGGATCCATGGCCGTAACTAAAGTGAATTCGAAATGGTATTTATGTATGTATTAATTTAATGTATGTGCTCATTTTATATTTTAAGTATGTTTTTGAATTTAATTATTTTAATTAAAAATGATAGTTATTTTGTGAATTTTATGTTTGTAGGAATTTGGTATACGTTTTTAGTTGAAGTTAACGTGCATGGAAATAATTAAAATCTGACACTAAGTATTTGTAATGCTTGCGGTATGAATTCGTTGGTGACGTGTATAATGTAATAGATGATTTAGAGGTAAAAGTTTTTGGATATTTATTTATTTTATATGTGGAAATGTTCATATTTGGAAAGGGTACATACTTTTTCGCGATCAGGTAATTTCATATATGTTCTTTTTACGGGTTAAAGATTGAGAAAATTGTCATGTTTTTCGTAAAATTTTTCTAATTTATGAGAAAAAAGCAGTGTACATGGATATAGTGAAGAGTGTGTGCAATGCCATTTTTGTGGCAATTCTGGGATGTTTTTTTAAGTAAAAATAAGTCGACGTGTACATGGTTTAGTGATATTTTAATTAAATGATAGTTATTTTATGAATTTATGTTTGTAGGAATTGGTACACGTTTAAGTTGAAGTACGTGCATGGAAATAATTTAAATATTTGATACTAATGTTTGTAATGCTTGCGGTATGAATTTGTTGGTGACGTGTATAATGTAATAGATGATTTAGAGGTAAAAGTTTTTTGGATATTTTATTTATTTTATATGTGGAAATGTTCAATTTGGAAAGGGTAAATACATTTTCGCTATCAGGTAATTATATATGTTCTTTTTACCGGGTTTAAAGATTGAGAAATTGTCATGTATTTTTCGTGAAATTTTTCTAATTTATGAGAAAAAAGCAGTGTACATGGATATAGTGAAGAGTGTGCGCAATGCCATTTTTGCAATTCTGGATTTTTTTAAGTAAAAATAAGTCGGGCGTTTACATGGTTTATGGTTGTGTTATTTTGAAAACGCGTAAGGAGTAAGAGTATGTATTGTGCACTTTTTCCCATTTTGCAGTGAATATTTGTCATGATTAAGCAGTTTTGTTAGATAAAATTCTAGCATAAGTGTAATTTAGCTAGTAGACTGTTGGAAGAAGTGTTCAGTAGATAAAAAGAAAAGAAACAAGTCTTTACTTCGTGAAGACAAAATGGCGGCGGGAAAAAAAAATAGAGGGTTGCTGTAGGAGAGTTGGTCGCCAAATTTTCGCCAAAAAAAACGCCAAGTTACCATAATGTAAAGATCAACCAAAAAAGAAATTTTATGTTTTTACTGCTGGTGTATATTGTTTAGTGACATTATCATAAATACAAAGCATGTGCATCTGTGCATATGGCAAGCAAATATGTGATTATATTTGCTTGCACACGTTGGTTATGTAGTATACAAGCACATGCTTATATACTGTCATATGTATACTAAAAAATATGTCAAAAAACAGGCAATTCTACCAAAAGTTGAACCCAGCGGTGCAGATAAACAGAAAGTACCAAGCATTTTACTTACTTATCATGCCGTCTTAGGCACTGAACAAGTATAGGCAAAATCCCAGAATTTATTAACTCATCAATTAGAGAGCTGTGGTCACTAAATGATAATTTCCTGCAATAGAAATTAAAATATGAGAAAATGAGTTCTATATAAATATGTAACAATTCAGTTTAATTTGCAAAAAAATAAAATGCTAATTCTGAAGGTGAAGGAATTAACACAGTAAATATCAATATATAATGCATGTGGTATTTCAGATTAAAAAATCTCCCAGAACACACAGAAAGACAAAAAAAAAAAAAAAAAATTATTTTCCAACTATGCACTTTTAATAATATGTAATTTTATTACTACTATGATGTTGCACACTACATTGTTGATTATTAAATACTTAGAATAAGTGTTCTCAAATGCTTATAACAACAAATACAATAAAATAGTAGAATGCCTTCATCCACATGTGTTAGGATCAAGGGTTGTGCAGATTAGTGAATTTCACTGATTGGTTATGTCTTTTTGAGTTTCACTGACATTTTCCCCTTCCTAAGTTTTTATACTGCTTTTGGATTATTTGTATATAAAAAAACTCAAACAAATGCATATATTGACAACTCTTTCTTTAATACAAACCCATTATATCCTTAATCATATACTTACATCAATGTTATGATTACTTTTATATTTTTGGAACAGCCATCCGGCTGGTACAGTGGTTTATGACCCTGACTACTGTAGTGATGCGCCAAAGTTCGAATCCCAGAGACGGTATGGTTGCAAGTATTCGTCCCTTCATAGGAGGCAAAGGTGACCACCTATTAGGCGCTTCCATAACGAAATGGCCACCACTTCCGGCCCTTGTAGTGGGGCAAGGCTAATGGCTATTAAATAAAGGACCCAGTCATAAAAGAAAAAAATTCTGGAACATCAAATTTATTGCTAATTGTTTTAACACTTTGTTCCTCAACATTTTCCACTGTCCTTTATATACTGTTATCATTTAATGTGTTAAAAATTTTTGTTTCTCTGGAAAATTCAGATATTGTTGTGATGCTAAACTGTCACCAAAAGCAATTCTTGCTTCCTGATAATGAGATTCAGTGTCTCATCAGTATATTGTAACAGGAAACTCATATTTAAAAGTCAGCCTAAGTAATGTTTTCTACTTTAAAAATTTGAGGCAAATCTGAAGCTCTATTTTTGGCAAACAAAAGCAATTGTGCTGCTTTCATATATAACTGACAACCTTAAGTCTCCTATATCACTTTCAGTTTTAATAAAGAGTGTCTGTAGTCACAACATTGGTAGTTGTAAATGCAAGATATTTGCAAGAAAATCATGAACAAGTAATTTACATTAACAAGCAGTGAAAAAAATACTTCACTAATGTAGAAAGCTACAATGACATAATTCAAATTTAAAAAAAAAAGGAATACAAATGCAAAAGTAAAATGTAGTTAAATGTGTTTTATTTGCATACATAGCGGAATTTGTTTAAGAATGAAAGAGCTCTTTCACAAAAATGTATCAAAACATTCAACATAAATAATACTACATATCTGCAGCAAAGCTGCTTCCAACTTTATTTTTTTGTGTACTTACACATTACCCCATCAACTGTGAAATTGTCACCAAACAGCATGATTAAGACAAATTACGGATAAACATGAGATAATAACACACTCATAACATCTGCATTTTACTTTGATGCAACCCTGATTAATTCTAGACCTTTTGTTTTATGTATAAGGATATAAATTAACTGTCACTGCTGCAGCGTTTTTTTACATTTTGGTTACACATGGTTTAAAGAATCCAGAAGCACATTTGTGACTGCACTCCAACTGATATTAATTGAGAGAATTAACATCTATTGAATAGAGAAAAGTAAAGCTGCATATGGCAGACACAAAATAATAGGTTGAAACAATAATCTGCAGGAAGTTCGTATTCATAGTGTTCTAAACAGTGCTTCAATAAAACTGGAAGGCCTAACAAAACAAAATAAATCAATGACAGCCTTTTTATAAAGTGTGTTAAATATAAATTGTTCACTAAATATAAAAGCATAACCGATTTTCACAGTCAATAGAATAATGCGTAAGTACCTTCTGTTGTTCCAAAATTAAAGGTAAATAAAAGCATTGTTTCCAAATATCTCAACTGGAAGGATTTTCCCTAAAATGAATACCCACACATTATGTTCCATGCATATCTGCTATTACCAATTTAAAGAAATGATAGAATGAAATATTTGATTTATTAAAAAAAAATGTCTTTATCCTTTAAACCTCCTTTTATTTATTTATTTATTTATTTTTTAAGAGAAAGGACATTTTCCCATTTTGTATACCAGAAGAATGCCAACAAATGGTATTCTTAAAAGTCTATTTTCCTAATCACTTTGCAAGGACAGTACACAAACTTGACAGGATGAGGCATAGCAACTAATTTAAAGTTTCAACTCAAGACCTGAAAGAAGTAAGCAATAAATGCTTTACATATATTTACTATATAATTTCAAGAGACAGTAGAAAAACACCCAAAAATAGAAATTTATCTTAAACAACAAATTTTCAGAAATTCCTGATTTGATACAGCGTAATATGAAGTAACCAAAATGTTTTGGCCATTTATGATTGTCAGATAGAGACAGACATACTGCATATGATACTCAGCTTACTTTAAACCTACTCCTGGGATCCAGGACACAGATATACTGAATGATTTGTACACCTGCTGAGTCACGAGATAGTTTCTCACAGATCATAGGGACTGAAAATCTTACACCTTAAGACTTAACAATTGTTTTATGATATTCAGATTGTTCTCTCCAAGCTCCAAGCACACCTATTTTTTAAACCCCCCTCACATTTTTTAGTTTCTTTTTTCCCTTCCAAGAAACTCTTCACATATATAAAGGAATAATGCATTATTTCCTTCTGATATACTTCTTTCTGAAGTTTAATTCCAGTTATATTGGATTAAAAGCCAAACTTGAGTTTTGCTGCTGATGATGGAACAAATCGTCAAAAACAAACGTGTTCATTTCTTCCTCCCAATTTTGACCATTACCCAGAACTCAACCATGTCTTGAAAACAGAAAAAGATTCGAGAAAAATAGGCAGCCCTTTTATTAAACCATAGGGCTTAAGAGAACAATAATTCAATATCCCATTTCCTTCCGAAACATGACAAGCAACTCTAACTCTAATGCTTCACACATTCATAAGAAAACAAGGAAATAAACTGCTTTTACAATGCTGAGTAAAGAATTAATTCGAAATATAATGAATTCACAGCCAGCTGATTACACTGTTGTTAAAACGTTTATCTTCCGATTAACAGCATCTCTCTTTCTAGTGACATTAAATCTGTTCTTAAAAACCATATATGTTTATTGCTTTGTTCTACATAAACTACAAAGTCAACATCAATGTTTCAGTTTTTAAAGGATCACTTAGTTGAAAGCGCGACCCTAACAGCACTACCGGTACCGGCGACTCGAGAAACTTCCTACAAGTTCTTTCGCAGAATAAAATTAAAAAGCGAGAGATTTACTGATTTAAACAGAGAGCGCTGACAGTAATGAAAATGAGTATCTCATGACAAGTGTGGAAGTGTTTCTGAAATGAGTACTACAGTACAATACAATAAATTTCTAAAGGCTCTAGAAGGCCAAGTACTTGTCGCTCGAAGTTGAATTCTCAACCAACATTTCAAGGGCATAAATTTCAAAGATCTTATATTAAAACGTTCAGTGATAACGAAATACGCAATTAAAAGCAAGTTTTACTAACATAATTCTAACGGGAATCAAAATACTACTCAATTTTAATTAACAGACTAAGCAACAGCTCCCACCATCAATGCACACCAAAACAGCAGAACTGAATATGTGATGCCAAAACATTACTACCAAATAAGCCCATGAAAACTGTACGGGATGTTGCACATGCAAAATACAATAAAATATAAAATCATATTTTAACATCCCAGAGTATACAATCCGCACTTTCGATCAAAAATTTATTCGCTATCTTGAAACTGATTTTATTAGAGAAACAGCAACCGTTCTCTTTGTCTAACTATTCCCCACGTGTGTTTCTTTAGCTTTAACAGCAAGTCGACTCCTGAACTCAGTGGTAGTGCAAAATCTAGTTTTGCCCAAGGAGGTTAGAATAGAAGGAGGGAGGGTTCGCGGTTTCCTCCACAAGCGGGGAATGAAACTTCGCCGAACAAGCGGCGTCCATGTTTGTGATTTCAAAACATTGCATTACGGCAGTGACATGTACGTGTTCTAACCGTTCCGTGCATTATTTCCAGTAAAAATATGTTAAATTTATAAAGAAATCCCTCGCTATTGTTGAATTTTTTTTAAAATAATAAGATGATATCCATAATTTACTATGTACAGCAAATTATAAGAATAGTTCGAAATCTAAATGCATGCGCATAACATTAAAGCCTTTAAAAATGATGTTTCTGCATATTTCACGGATTTGCTTAGGTTAGAAAATAAATCTTAAAAAAAAAACAGATTTATGTGAATCATTGATTTCAGTTTATGCGCATTCATATTTATTAATCCGAAACTGCCTTAATTAAGTTGAATTACAGAATATAATTTTTGAAACATCTTTCCACATGTTCAATTGTGTAAATACATCTTCCCATTCAATTGTGTAAATATTTTACTTAATTTTCCACTATACTGCCAGAAATTTAAGTTTATGCAAAAAAATTTTTAACAACAAAACAGTTTACCTTACTTAAAAAAAATGAATAATAATTATATAAAGAAAAGCATTGCTTTATTTAACACCCTTTACAATTAATAAAAATAGTAACAATTGATTCTTACTTTTCATGAAAGTTATAAAACGAATTAACTAAAACGTTCAAATTATAAATTTAAATCTACCATATAGCATTGTATCTTAAGGAACGAAGATACCCAGCTATAACAGAAACATTAAAATGTATTTACTATATTTTGATTATAGTATATTAAATAACCTATTTAAGTCCTTTTTTCACATCCGGAAAGAAAACCACATGACATTGTGATATTTTGACATAGTTGTATATTACATAAAAAAAGAAATTATACTACGTGTGAAACTAATGCCCGGAATTTTTTTCGAGAATCTAAATGTGCATCCATATGCAATACAAGCTGACATGCTTCAAAAAGAAAAGAAAAAAATGTTGCAATGACAGACTTCCTTGCACAAGTCACGGTGATAACAGGAAGATGGCCGCCAACCTTCACCGTTTGAGTTGAACCTTCCCTCCTTCTATTCTAACCTCCTTGGTTTTGCCGAAGATACATATTGTATTGAATAACGTGCCAACCACTGCCCTCCTGGACACCGGAGCTCATTGTTCTTTTCACTCACAAGATTTCTTTAAAAAACATTTTCGTCATTATAGGCTATTTAAAACCACGGGACAACGAGTAATTGCCCCCCCCCAAGGCAAACAGTGCGTATGTTTGGGGAAAACCGCATTGCATGTACAAATTAAAAATGAGGTATTAAAAGTAAATTTTCTAGTGGTAAAAGATTTACTCACATCAGTAATATTAGGGGTTGATTTCTTACGCGCAGCTAGCCCGAATCTTAATTTCCAGAATTCTACGTTGCAGGTGCTCATAGACCCCGTGGAAGAGGAGGAAGGGGCTATGCCAGAATTAAGTCTGGACCACATGAAACCCGAAGAGAAAGACAAAATGGAAAATTTGGTAAGAAAATTTATTTCTTTATTTGACGAGAAACCAGGCTTCTGTCAGGTTGTGACTCACGCTATTGATACGGGGAATGCCCATGCAGTCCGATCTAAACCTTATCGATATGATAGGGTCAAAGAACAGATTCTGGAACATCACATACAGAAGATGTTAAAAAATAAAATCATTGTGCCGAGCACTAGTACGTACGCAAGTCCGGTGGTCCTTTGCAGAAAGAAAAATGGGCTACCGCCCGAGCAACAGGACGCGTGCAGGTTTGCAGTTGTTTAATGCAAACGTAACTGCATAACAAAATATCCTACGTATCCCCTACCAATAATTGATGAAATTCTCAGGAAAATTCGGTCCACTAAATTCATGACAACGTTAAACGTAAAGTCTGGTTATTTTCAAATTGCTGTAAAGCTCAAAGATGTCGAAAAGACTGCGTTTATCACAAAGTCAAGCGTCTATGCCTTCTTGAAAGTGCCGTTTGGTGACCGTTTCTTAGTTTTTGAGTTCAAGCCCGAGTGGAGGCTTAATTATAAAACTCCAAGGAGGAATTCTGTAAATTTAATTTAGAATAATAAAGGGTCTTTAACACTTCTCGAGCTTTATTTACTGTCTCAAGCGATTAGTCGCTTACCACTTCTTAAGATTCTTCAACTTTAACTTAAAACTACACAGTACAGAATCTTACAATCCTCCGCGGTTCTTGCGTTGTAGATGACATATTCATCAGGTGATTGCTGCTAGGATTACCTCATTCGAAATTATAGTCACCTCATATGACAACAGCAAGACAGACTTATAGGTTCTTGTGTGCTGCAACACAAAGTGCTGAAATAACTTCAACGATTCAGGAACCAGTGATGTTAATTTATCCTAGACTTCTTCTAATGATGACCGGCAACCCCAAAATGAAGAACAGATTGCAATCATATTACCCGTAAGGTTTTCTTTTATATTAGCATACCTTGTCTTCCCAGTGGTGCTCAGAATTATATGATACATTGTATACCTTATATGTTACAAATTCGAATCTCCTATATGTGCTCATGTATAAAATCATGCAAAGGTATCTTTATATTTCAAATTTATGTTAATTTTGTATACTTAATGTTACATTCCAAATCATAGTTTTTTTCCTTTCCGGTTTAGGCACACTCACTCTATTTATCCTTCATGAAGGTGCTGCACACGCAAACGATGGAGGCAGAATCTTTAACAGAAGTTGGCTTCTCAACTAGACTTTGACTGTTAACTGGTCCCCCATTCTTTTTATCCCCCCCAACCTTACATCTCTTCAGCTTTACCAAACGCACTCACTACACACACCTGGGAGACACTATTTAAAGTAAATGTACACTGCTCAAAAAAGAAAATGGGACAGTTACATATCTCCCGTTCTACCGGGCCGATTCACGGAATTCAAATTGCGTTCTTCATGTTTCGAAAGCGCGACTTATGATATATATTAGATTTATATATAGCACTATTCTAACATAGGTATTTTGACACAAAATCGGACTTTTTCTGAAATAACATACCAATTTTTTTTACATATTTCGATTCTACGACTCAAATTGTGCCTAAATATTAAATTTTGTAAAATTTGGTCCGAAATTACGGAGATTCAACAATTATATTGGCGCTTTTTATTAGTTTGGCCAAAAATAGTTCACTTGGAAACTTCTTAATATATGGCAACCTATTTCATTTCCATTTTTACATAGTGCTGAGAGGAAAAAAAAGACTCAATCGTTCCTTCTTTCAAAAATGTTCTTTATCTTATATTTTAATATATTTGTTTAATTTTAAGCAATTTTTTCTTTTCGAATTTATTTTAATTGGTTACGTTCATAGTTCTTCGAATAACTGTTTTAAAGTTTCTATTTACTTATCGAACTGCGTGTAAATCAAAGGCGCATCGTTTATTTTATTTTATTTATTATTTTATTTATTTCAAATAGTTTTTTTTACTATATTTTTAGTCATAGTTACTATTTTAGGTATTTTAAATTTTTGACTTTTATTTTAATTGTTAGTGTTGCATTGTCTATTCAGAGAATTAAAAAATTTTCTATTATCATTGAATGAGCATTTTAAAATATTTATAATATAAATTTTCAGAATTTTATTTTATTATTGAATGCGTTTCTTTGGAAGAATACGTTGTAACCCGACTACGCTGCATTGAAACTGCCTTATTAAAAAGAAAATAAGTAAGCAACTTAACACGCCTTTCAATGTTCCATAGAAAGCTATATAAAAGAGAGATGTAACCGACATTTAACTTAGGATTACTTGAATACACTGCTTTAAACAGTTTATCATTGTGCCCTGATTTACATAAATTTATCCTACATATGGTTTCTTAAAATGTTTTTCATATTTTAGTCAAATATATCATTTTTTAAATCGCAAGAATCAAATATCATAAGATTAAAAAGTTTTAAATTAAAAAAAGTACAAATACCAAATTTTACGCAAAAATTTTTTTTTTCTTCAGGCATTCTGCTTCATTCTTGCTCTTTTTCTTTAGGCATTCTGCAAGTATATTAAAAAGCATCCAACTTTTCGAAACATTTGGTATTTCTGACAATTTTAAATAAAATTATCGCCTTCCATTTCATAAAGGCCACAAACGGCCGAGCGGTAAAGACGCTGAACACTGGTAGTTGACTCCGGGGTTCCAATCCGGTAAACGGGCTGGTTGCATAGGCGTTTTGGATTTTCTCATGTGTAAGTGTATGCCATCTGGTTTCCCTAGAAATTTCTTCGCGAAAGGCATCCTTCCTTTTGGCAGATAGCCCCGCTTTGCCGTAACTTAATAATCCAAATCAATCCTTTCATCAGATCTTTATCAGTCTTTAGAGGTTTAAGCATTTGAAGGTATGAGATAAAGCAATACTGGTTTCAATCAAGAGGTTTTGGTTTATTTAATTGGACTGCACACTGGGTATATATGCCTAAGGGGAGGGATGCCTTCGTGGAGGACTTTCTAAAGAAAACTGGCTCGTATACACGTTACACATGGGGAAAACCACGAAAACGCCCATGCAGCCAACCCGTTCGCGGATTCGAACATCGGACCGAACTACCATTGTTCAGCGACTTTACCGCTCGGCCGCTGTTTGATCAGGAGGGGAAAAACGTCTTTAGGTTGTAGGGTTTATATTTATTTTAACTAACATTTATTTTAAGCTATCTTTCCTGTCAAGCCTTTACTTTCCCCTAGAATTGCCAATGCCAGAGTATGTAAATTGTAGTAGAACGCGCAGAGTATTCAAATTTTTAGCAGAAGTAAGTTGAGTTTAAATAGAAGGGAATCGAGATTGTAAGTGTGCTTCTTGAATCGCAAGTGTGAAGGTGCTTGCTAGGTGAAAATTTAAGAACCGCGCGTTTCGGCCTGCGTGCTATTTCGGCAGTTCGTGAATCTTTCAACTCTTAATCAGTAAATGTGAATCTCACTGTATCTTAGAACGCGGTTAAGTTAGTTACGATTATAGAGCCTCATAGATGTGACTCGTTTTATTCATCCGTCATTTATTTTAGTTGTATTTCTATTTGGTTTAACCGCCGGGTCGGCATAGTTTGTGAGCGTCAAGTGAACGCAACTGGGATTTCTAAAGTGAAATAAAAAGGGATTTAAACCCTTCCTACGAGTTTGTATAATTTACAGTTCATAGCAGTCACTACTACTGTTGCTGACAAGTTGGGGCCACGCAACATCATAATGTGACATCCACATAATCACTGGATAAACTCCTGAATTTTCAAATAATTCGACTGAGAAATCATTGGATTCTCCGTTTATGATACGATATGATGTTCTATAACGTAATTTAAATTTTGAACACCTAAATTCTTTGAAGTATACTGAATGTATCTTCAAAAAGCGTCCAACTTTTTGAAACATCTTTGTATGTCTGACAGCCAAATCTCCCTGAAAATTTTTGCTTACTTTTCTCCCTAATTTTCTTCTTTCCTTCCACAGTTATTTTCAGTGCTCACACAAGAAAATTAAGATTTTTCGATTGCTAGACTTCCATAAATTTTGCATTCTTGTCAATTTTCTTAAAATATCAATTACATGAATTGCATTTCAGCTGAAGACAGCTTTTCATTTTATAGTCATTTTAACTATAAATAAAGTTTAAACGAAGTCCAAGGATAAATATTTAATAAAGATTTTTGCTAAATGACAAGAAATAAAACAGTCCAGCAGTGTTTATTCTGTACCACCGAGTGACCCGATCTTATTCGATTGAAAACAACTAAATCATATTAAATATATCATGTTTTTTTATATACAATCTATAACGCGAGAGAAAAATTAGCTTCTTTAAAACATTCTTTCTAAGAGAATTATATAAAAATTTATATTTATATATATATTTTTAAAGCTGCGGACTTGAACCAAACTGTCCATTTTTTAAGTTTAATTACATGGTGGTATAATTAAAGTTCCACATTGAAATGTCATAAAGGAAAACTACCGGACTAAATTTTATCACACTGGGAATCGTGTAAAGGAGGTTTAAAGAATTTATTTTCCGCGAGAAAAAAGATTTCAAAAACTCACCACCAGGGGAAATGGCTGTATGCAATATGTTAAATGAAATATGACATGAAAACATCGGTTTAAAATGTGTTTAATCGTTTCCGAAACGTGTCAAAGCATGTTCAATGTAGCGTCCAGTGTTTTCCGAAAGCAAGTTAAATCCTGTTACTGCATTCTCAACAGCAGCTCTTAGCATATCAGGAGGAATGTTACGGACATGTCGGTGTATCACATTTTTCATCTCTGCCAAATTGTTTAGATTATCACCATAAACAGTGCTTTTGAAATAACCCCATAGCTAAAAGTAACAGAGGTTGACGTCTGGTGTCAAGAGGGAAAGTGTCGGCCTATAAGACGTTCAGTCGTGAAATGTTGCCTAAGTAACCGTGTGACACATGTGAGGTAGGGCCCAGCCCTGCATAAAATCGTAGTATCTAAAATGCCACGTTGCTGCAGTTCATGTATCACGAAACATTTTAACATTGACTCTAAGCGATCTGCAATCATAGTAGTCCAGATGTCGACTGCTATTCAGAGAAAAATGGTTCAGTTATGAAACTAGATGTCATTCCTCGCCAAAACGGTGGAAGACTTTTATGCAATCGAATCAGTAGGGAATGCAATGGAACTAGGTAGATAACATGAGGGATTTCTTTGGCCCAAACGATAAAAGCGTTTGAATCAGCATCTTCATGTTTTAGGGCCGAATTCAAGCTTCAAAAATTGCAAATTAGCGATCCGTAAGAAAACGATTTCCAGATTGTACGCACTTGTGCGAGTGATGCGATCTTACATTTTCTAATCGCTAATTCGTGGTTTTCACGAACGAATTTCTCCCTTGCACGGATGGCGCATTCGACTTTTATCGAATTTAACGCCTTTAAATGGTAAATTGCTCACTTCAAAGTTTCTTAACCCTTTCGTGGGCCATTTAATTCTCTTTGGAATTTCTCCCGTTTTTTTATGTTTTATTATCAACTAAACAATGGCATTTAAGGAAATATATTTTATTTTGCCAAATTTTTGTTTACATTTAAATTCTAGGGGTGGGAAGTATACTTCCCACGGGACCTTTTATGGTCATAGAGAAAATTCAATTTAAAGGCGATTTTGCCGTGAAAAGATGAGAAACATATTGCAATGCACAAGGGTACATCACATACTGCACACATATAGCGGGTCATCTTTTCTTGGGTCTTTGTGCTACATTTCTACATCGTCTATAGTTGGAAACCATCTTTGGCATATGATTTCCCACATTGGCTAAGCGTATATCATCCGGAACTGCACACCTTTTTGCTTGGAAGCTAGCAGGACGGCCTTTACTTTTTCGAGGAAGTCCTTTTTCGAATCCGTCTATTAGTTGACGAGCTAATGCTATACGGAATGTTAGGTGGTCTAAACTTCTGTTTCTCTTGTTTACTTGCCACAGTATAAAACTATTTACGATGCCAAGATCAATAAGAAAATCAAAAATACGATGCCAACATTCTACAGATGTTCTTCCTATTTGGTATCTTTCTTTTCTTTGATCGAAGCAATCAACCCCTCCCATGATATCGTTATATACGGCAACAGCTTTAGGGCAAGGTACTTCTGTTTTAGTACCATCCTTTTGTGTACGATTTACAGATGTAATAATCCCTGAATTGTGTGCAGTAGTCAACAATGTAACAGCCTTTTTGTCCATCCACTTTATTGCAGCAACACCTTGCTTAGTTAGGAACATTGATTCCCCTCTTTGTAGTTTGTTATTAGCCTTCAGCATTGGTGGAAGATCCTTCCTTTGCGGCCTCACAGAAAACAGACCACTTATAAGTAGACTTTTTGCAAGCCTAAAAGATGTCAAATAGTTATCATAGGCTATAAGATGTACTGCCTGTTTCACATCTTCCGTTAGTTTAGTTTGTTTCCCCTAAGCTCAACATTTTACCCTTATTATCAGAGTTTCTTTTCCACAATAAATTTCAAATTTTTGAATATATCCACTCTTAGAGTCTGCTAAACACCACACCTTGTAACCTCTTTTTATAGGCTTCATTGGCATATGCTGCTTCAATGAAGTTCTCCCTTTCAAAGCTATCATACATTCATCTATTCATAATGTTGACGAAGGTTCGTAGACTTTAGGTATGGAATCATTCAGCTGTGAGAGGATTGGTCTGACTTTATCGAGTTTATCATGTCCAAGTTGCCCACATGGTGGATTTGTGTCGTTATCGTTTACATGTAAAGTCTCAGTTATTTTTTGAACCTCTTTGCGATTATTATTCTTGCTACTGATTGAACATTGAGAATAGGGTCTGTGCTCCAGTAATTGTTTTTCAGTTCAGGCAATTGATGTATACCCATGAGTATATGCATACCTACCCATGCTTTCAATTCTTCTGATGTGATGTTCTTTCCAGTTCAAGGATAATGTCTTTTTGTGGTATAACCCAATCTCTTCCTCTTCTTAGGCTGCTTTGCATATGAGTTTCGTCAACAATATTCTGTGAGATTTCCTAGGGAAAAATCATGCCAAAATAATCCTTTTCTTTCTCAGTAGAATGAATGCTATTTTCAAATGTATTTTCAAAAATATTCTAATTTTTCCAACATACCTATTGTACGTGGCTTTTATACACGATGCAATAGCATTTTCACTTTTCACCCATTATTTATTATTCAATATTAGATAGTTCTTGCAGAAATATACAAAATAAGAGAACGTTATTATAATAAAAACAGTGTTTTACTCACATTTGTAGCAGAATCGTATAGCAATGCAAATGTCAAATCAAAAACAGGTGTCTCAGGGGAACAGATCTCACACAACGCGTTCGAACTTTCAAAACAAATGTGGTAATTATGTTTTCAATTGATTGAACACAGATGGCAGCACAATACTGAAGTGGGAATTAAAGTTCCCAACGTTATAATACCAAAGCCAATATATTATAGTGGGTTTTGAGCTTTCCATAGGTGTATTTCCCAGGATCATGTAGGTGGGAAGTAATCTTCCCATGACCCATGAAAGGGTTAAGAGTATACAACATATTACACCCGTGTAACAAAAGGTTAAATTAGATTCCGACCCATATTTCGTTTAACAATATTGCATACAGCGCCATTTCCCCCTGGTGGTGAGGTTTCGAACTTTCTTTTTTTCGCGGTAAATAAATTTCCATGACCTTCTTTACACGGTTACAAAGTTTGATAACATTTGATCCAGTAGTTTTCCTTTTATGACTGTTTCAAAATGAAACTTTATTATAACGACCCTGTATATTATTAAATTTTAATTTGAAGCTATGCGTTATATGTATTCCATACGTAAGATTTTCGATTTTATGGAAAAAATAAAGAATCGAAGCAAATATACTTAGGATAATGGACCAAAACTGAAAAAAATTTCTCCTCCCTCCGGAAATAAAATATTGAAACTTCGACCTTGAATTTATTGAATTATCGAAACATTCAATTTGATTTATCTTCTAAGTCCTAGTTCCGACAACAATTACGTCAAAAATTCTGAATTACTGAAGCTGAAGAAAAAGGTTTAGTATATATCCAATGTATGTTAATAAAGTAATCAGAGTGTAATGAAAATATATTATAGAATTTATGCTGATCCAACTTTTTGTTTGAATGCACAACATGTAATGGAAGAGAAGGCTTGTAGAGATCTGTTTTTGACATGCCTCTAAAAGTAGATGTCATACTTTTGTCTCTTCAGTGTCAAAAAACGTCATTTGAGAGGCAAACTTTAGTTTTTGGGAACGAAAAAAAAACACAAGAAGACAAATTTGAAGAACATGCAGAGAACGATTGAGTACATACTTATTTCCGAATACAAGTGGTTCTCCGATTGGTTATTGAATAATGAAAAGATGCATTGTCATGCAATACAAACATTTGGAATACGTTTTCTGACTGAATAACGTAAGATTAAAAGTCATCTGCTTAATTCACAGCCATTTACAAGTCAACTACTCGGGCAATCGTTTTGATTTTGAGCTTGTAAGACAAACCTAATATCACTGGATTTAAACACTTCTTTAATCTTCCGAGAACCTTCCTTCTTTAGCTCATATTTCAAGAATATTAAGTGAATACAATTATTACAAAAGAAATTGAATATTCATTTGCACTACGGCTTGGTAGTTTACTAACTAGCTATCAAAACTTAAATTCTGCGTCTTGTGTCTAAGAATACAACACTATTTTAAATATTTACAAATAAAATATTAAATTGGAGATTTAATTGGAGCCTCACCAATTGCCTAGCATTTGAAGATCGTTAAATACTAATTGTTTTTTGCGAAGTCTAACCCAGTCTTGCATGGTTGGTTTTCGTAGTTTTTTATGTTCTCTTTACAAAGGTTCTCTATGAAAGCATCTTAACCAAATATCTCCCATGATCTTTCTATGTTCAAATAACCATCTAACCTAGTTTAAGCGCGATTTCCAAGCGAAGTTACTAGCAAAACCCGAATACTCATCAAAAATCATATAGCTTGCCAATCAGGAGTAACATGAAAGATACGGCGCTAATAATTGAATTGCTCTTACGGTACGCTGTGTCTAAACTTAGATGGTCTTTCGTTAATTAAATATAATTGATTTGTAACTTCTACTAGTGCTGACGGTAAGAAGTGAAGTGCAAATAAATAATATCGTGTGCAATCTTGATTAATATAAAATTAGAAATATTTGCATTCAGACAGAAAGTTTTTTTGAAATATTTGCAATTACTTTATAAGAAGGATTTATTAATAACCGTAATAATTACTTATTATATTATTTATGATTAGAGTTCAGTTTTTAACAATTATATTCTAAATTAGAATTTTAAGGATATGATGAAAATACCCTACGCATAAAAATACATTTTAGGATAAAAAAATTAATTGATTTTTTAATGTTTAAAAACTTCTTAAATTCATTTAATAAACATCGTACCCTCGTTGTTAATTGAATCCAGAATTTGGGTGTCGTTTATATAATTATTCTTACTTGTCCACAGAACCTGCTGACTTATCCAGCCAGATAAGTAGCTGCAGATCATTTCTACATAACCATTGAACTTCCATTAATTTGGTCTCTAGAGGGTTGTATGTTTATATCATAATTTGACTTTTATAAAAATGATTATTCTAAATCTTATGTTTCTATAAAAAATATACTGTGCTTTAAAAATATGGATGATAGTATCAGCCGCTCTTTCAGCCAATGCATAAGCAACAGCTTGTTTAGAAATAAATTGTGCAGTTAATGTCATAAAATATTTTCGTAAAATTCAAATAAACATTAAACGAAAGTTCTCAGTTTTAGACAATTCGATTTAAACGAAGTTAAAGTAAAGTAGCAGACGATTAAAACGACGAAGATAAAAACTTACTCTTACAAATAATTTTTTAAAAAAGGAAGAAAGAGAGAAATTTAAAAAAAATAGTTAAAAATTTGAATAATATCATCTATAATTTAAAAAAATAGCTTTTCATATAGTATTCATAAATATTTATTACGCATCATTGAGGGAAACAATTTCATGTAATTAATTCTCCTTAAAATTTTACTTGAAATTTAATGTTAAAAATAGCTGCGGCAATTCACTGTAACAAAAATCCATAAACCACATTTGGCGTTATTATCGCTCAAAAAAAAGATGCCAAATTTCAAAACGCGAAAATATGTAAATTCGTGTATATCTTTGTAAATTTTGAATAAAAAAGTCTAATTTTTTGCAGGTATGCTTAGAAATACACCTACTTTAAGATGATGGTAAAAATTTTATAGGTTATAATTCAAAATTTTTTTCGAAAAATTTATAAAAATTATTTAAAAATAGAAATTTAAAAAATAAAACACAAAAAATGGGTAAATTTTATTTGGAATGAACCTAAATTTCGAAATGTGAAAGGAAAGATAATAAGAGTTTAATAAAAAAGAGCTATTAATAAATATTTGCCAAATTCAATTAACATTGAGGAGCTAAAATTTCGAGAGCTAATATTTTAAAAACTACTCGTACGATTTTTACAAAACTTGGTATTCTGGCATAATTTGAGTCGTAGAATCGAAATATGAAAAAACAATTGGTGTGTTATTTCAGAAAAAGTCCGATTTTGTGTCCAAATACCTATGTTAGAATAGTGCTATATATAAAAATCTAATATATATCATAAGTCGCGCTTCGAGACATGAAAACGCAGTTTGAATTTTTGTCAATCGGCCCAGTAGAACGGGAGATATAGCACTGTCCCCGCCTTTTTTTTTTTTTTTTTTTTTTTTTTTTTTGAGCAGTGTACATAGTCTCCTTCCATTTTGACTACACGCATGGACTAAATCGCATTTTTAGGAAATTTTCTACTTCTTTTCCTTTTCTTTCTGTAGGCCCTTTTTTATTTTTTTCCCTATATTACTGAGGGCCATTTATTTTAATTTTGTTTTGTCCCATTTTTTCTTCCTGGCCTTTTGAACTCGTATAAAGAGTACGAAGTTCTTTTTTTCTCTCCTCTGAAACAGGAAATTTCCTAGTTTTCAAAATACCTTTCCTTCGCACCTAAGCTTGATTATTCGCCTATCGCTGCAGAAAGACTTAGCGGGTGCAAAATACGACATCTGTCTACTTTGTTTGTCTGTCAACAATCATCTGCATCCGAAAACAGGGTTTCCAAATTTAAGCCCAGGTTTGAAGGGCCGTATATAGTAGAGAGAATAAAAGAAGCCACTTTTTATTTAAAGGCCGAAAATGGCCGGCAAGTGGTTGCAAATACTGATTAGATTAAACCTCATTACAGTCGTAATGATTTTCAAGTTTTACAGAATTTATTACACAATCCTGGAAGTGACTAAGGAATTCTGCCAGGTCAGAAGCCGAGTTGGAGTCCCCCAACATCAAAAAGGAAGCAGACGGAGAAACCGGAACAATCACCGACCCAGCAGGTTCAACCAGGAAAAGGTCCAATGCTCAGCGAAACAGAGGAAAATAAGGCCTATGAACGAACACACCAAAACAGAGGATTCAAGAAAAACACCAGTACCGGCGGCGAAGAGGACGAGGCCTGCTGAGGAGGTTCCAGCGAAACAACAAATTCAACGACGTGCGGAATCAAGGAAACGCAAGCTACGTTTTCCCACGGCAACGACCACTAGGGAGGCCCAAGGAGGTCGAAATTGGAGGAGGACAAGAAGTAAAAGACCAGCGGATACAGCCGTGCCATACCAGCAAGTAAGAAGGTCAAAACGGAAGTTGAAAGACCCGGAGGAACGAATGGCCCCGCCAGAAGTTAAGAGGAAACTTCAGTTTCAAAACCCCCAACCGTCCCGCAAAAACTTGAGGTTCATCGACAAAGGGCAGAAGAGGAAAATGAATGAAATAAACGGCACGGATCGTCAAAATCGAAGAAGAAAGCTGGAAGTTTTGAGATATCTTACATTCCAAGAGTTTTGACTCGTCAGGATGGAGAAATACAGAAAGAGAAAAGATAAGTGAAAATTTCTTTGTTTGTTTATTTTACATGCAAATTTCAATTTATACCATGCAGTTGTAAGTTGTTAAATATTCTTGAAAGAAGAAAAGTTGTAATTCGCAAATAGCGAGAACTTATTTGTAAATAGATTTTAAATAAAAAGATTTTTGTGTTCGCAATTTGGCGAGAAGCTAGTAGTAAATATTTTGTTAAAACCTCGCAAGTGGCGAGAATTCAATTGTGAATATCTTTTAATCGGAAAGACTTCTTTCAATATTGAAATTGGTTAGCTTAAAGTTAAGATTTGATAAAAAGATGGTTAATTGTATTTAAGCAGCTATGACTTTTCATGTAAAGTGAATTTAAAATGTGATGTGTAAATATCTGAAAATTTTATGCTCAAAGTAGAAATGTTAAGTGTCAGTGTTAAAGCGTCTTAAGTTTAAACTTGTACAAAAGATAAATTTTGACCAAAGTGCAAGTGAAATTTTGAAAGAATTGAATGTTTAGAATATGTGTGTTTAACGTTAGGCTCTTCAGACACAACACG